AGAAGCCAGCTCCGGGAAGGAGGAGCAGGGGAAGAGGAAAGGAATCCTGCCCTCGCCGGTCTGGGGCTCCGGTCCCGCCTCCGGGCTTGCTGCCCTGGCGGCCCCCCCCATCCGGGCTTCTCAGGAGCAGGCGCAGCCCCCCACAGCCGTGCGCGGGGCTGGAAGGTGTTTGGTGTCTCTCTGCGGTGGGCGGGCGTTCCACGGCGTCTACTCACTTTCCCCTCTAGAGCAAGCGCGGGCTGCTGGTGGCGCCCACAGGCAGAATTGCTTCTGCCTGGCGGGGTTCGCGCGCTGACCTTGCAGACCCAGCGCCTGCTGTTCTGTCAGCCGCGCTCGACCTGCTCTCAGCCGCAGACGGAGGGGCCGCCAGGGAAGGGGGCTCGGCGCCTCTCTTTCTGACTGTCCACAGTGGGATGGAGGCACGGGGAGACAGAGACCGACACGGCCTCGAGGGAGAAAATCACCACAAAGGCCTCGGGACGTGTGTTGGCTACAGGCAAAGCGAAATCCTAAAAACCAGCTTAAAAGCTGGTTATGCGTGGAAATGAGCAACGTTAAGACAGAACGCCGCCGCGACCTGCCTTCCCGAATGGAACGTGGAGGCGTTGGGCACAGCGGGGTGTCCGGCGCGCCTGGGGTGTGCTCGGCTGCCGGCCAGGCACCCTCCCTGCAGGGGCCACTTCCCCACGGCAGGAGGCCCCGGTGCCTGCGGCCCCTGGTGGTGGGGCCCGGAGGAGCGGTGACTCCCCCTGGGGTCTCCACCTTGTGCCCACAGGGAGCGACCCCCTAGAAGGTGGGGTGCAGGCCGCCGCACGTGGGTCACAAGGCAGAGAAAGAGGTTCTGATCTGCTCCCCCGCAGAAGCGCTGCCCCTCCCGAGCGTGTGCAGAGTTTCAGCAGCGCCCGGTAGCTGCTCGCCTCGCCTCTGCACACCCCAGCTTCCGGGGCCGGTGGCCAGGCAGGAACGGGCGCACCAGCTGCGGCTGAGTCGGGATGGCCCTGTGTGGAGCCTCCCGGAAGGGCGGTGGGTGAGGCTGGATGGAGCTGGTGCCCAGCGCCCCGGCCGGGTGTGGGTGACACGAGAAGGGCCTCCCATGGCGGGTGCTGGTCACCCCAGGCCTGGGGCTGCCCCGGGAGAGTCCACTCTCCTTTGCGCCCAACCCCTGCTGTTTGCTATTATCGATGGAGAGCGGTTTGGGGGCCTTCAGGGGTGGGGGGTTGGCGATGGGGGCACTTGGGGGGATGGACGAGAGGCCACCAGTCTTAAGCACTGGACGAGGCCTGACTGGTTTCCCCGAGACCTCTGCTGACTTTCCCCGAACGGTGACATGGTCCAGGTGTCGGGCCAAGTGCTCCATCCCCAGGGAGAGTTGCCTGGCGCCCCGTGGCTGGTCCTTTCACCACCGGGGACGGCAGGAAGAGCTGAGACCAGACTGAGCTGCGGGGGACAGGCGGGCCAAGGCCCAGGCGAGCCAGGCACATGGGCAAGCCCTTCTGGGAGCCAGGCCCACGCCCGTGCACCCGCTCTCACTCCCAGAGGGTCGCCCTGCCTCCGTGTGGGTCTCCAGTTCCCCTGGACAGGTGCCGGTCTGCCAGGGTGCCAGTCTGTCCCCCAAGCTCGTCCTGGTCAGTGTCCAGGACGCCCTGGGTCCCGGCGGGGCGAGGGATGTGGCCCCAGTGTCTGCATCCCCGTGGCACCTGCCAGGCGGGCCCAGCGAGTGGGGAACCAGCAGGACACGCGGGGCACAGGAGGGGTCAGGCCACGCGGCGGGTGGGCGGGGAGCCTGCCGTGGGCGAGGCGGGACCAGGCCCGGACTTACCTGGCGTTTGTCGTCTGGGGACCGACGGGAGTGCCAGGCACTGGCGCGTAGGGAGGGGGGACAGCAGTGAGGGCAACAAAAAAGGTCCAGGCAGTTAGTACATCACCCTTGGCTGTGAGCGTGTTTAATGAGTGCACAAAAGAAATATTTACAAAGCGGGGTTCAGAACCATCGGGAGCACAGTCTCAGGGGACGCCGTTTACAGCAGGACGCCCTGCAGGGGCTTGGCCGGCCCGGCCCACGCGCTAGTTTAACCTGCTGGTTTAAAAATGGACACCTGGAGATGACAGGCCAGTGTCGGCCTGGGGCAGGGCCAGAGGACCCACGGGCCCCATCTGGGGACCTCAGGAAGAAATCCCTGCAGGAAACCTCAGGAATGGGGGCAGGGACGAATGTGCCAGTGTATTTGGGTTCTGCCCAGAGGCCACCGGCCAGGCCTGAGGGTGAGCCCGGCTGCCAGCGGCCGGCGGGGCCAGGAGACATGGCTGTGCTGGTGCCGGGGCCACGGCTGGTGGGGGAGCCTGGCCACACCAGGGCGTCCATCCCGCCCGGACGGCGGGGCCGACCCGGACAGCCTGCCCCGGATTGCCGCATCCTGCCTGCCATCTCCAGGAGCACAGCCCGGTTCCCGGACAGGCCGCACGGTGGGGGCAGCAGGGGAGACCTGCGCACTGTAGAGCTCAGGCGTGTCACATGAGCTGAAACTGCAGGCATCTCCGCCCCCGCGAGCCCCCCACCCCTGTAAACCCCCCGGCCCCGCGAGCCCCCAGCCCCTGTGACCAACGTGCAGGCCGAGGCCCCGCAGCTTCACGCGACAAGAGCGCTGACTCTGCCAAAGCAGCCCCCGGGCGCCGCCCTGAGACGGAGACGAGAGACGGGCCGACTGTGGCGAGAATGAGACGGGGAGCCCTGTCCGAGGGCCGGAGCCCGGGCAGGGGTGGGGGCGCAGGGCTCAGCCTCGCACGGACACCCCAGCTCAGCCTAGCTCTCGGGAGAACTCACTGCTCGGAGCGAGAGCAGGTGCAGAGCCCAAGCCTGGGGCGGGCTGGGGGGGCGGGGGCGGGGCGGGCAGCAGAGGACGCTGCCAGCTGCGAGGCCACGCCCAGGCCTGGGACCCTTCCCTCGGGCACCACAGCCTCCTCCCGCCTTCCCCCTCGCAGAGGCCCCTGCTCGCCACAAAAGCGCTTTTCATGTGGCCCTCAAGGCCGCGCCTCCCCAGGAATCTGCGATGTGCTTTCCTGAAGGTCAGCTGCGGGCCACACGGGAGGGGGTGTGCATTCCTGCCCGAGGGGCGGGGTGGGGCCGCAGGGGGCGCTGCACACAGGGCCCTCTGGGTGGTCAGCGCCACGCAGTCCCACAGCGCCCCCCTGAAAAGCTGCCCTGGGCAGACAGCATGACAGGCGGCGGGGCCGCTCTCCCAGGTGCAGGGCGGCCCGCGTCCGGCCCGTGTCGGGGCGCGGCGGGGCAGGGGCACAGCGAGGGGCGCCGGGCTCCTCTGTCTCAAGCCTCCTGGCGAAGGGCCTGTGCGTGCCCGGGGCTCCTGGCCCGCCAGAGCAGAGGGAGGAGAGCGGACGCCAAGCCGCCCGCAGCCTCCCACCGAGACCGCCGGCCCCACCCGCGCTAGGGAACAGCAGGCAGCACCCCTGCGGCTCCCGCCCAGGCAAGCTGTGCCTCTTGGAGCCTGTTAGACTTGGCGCCCGCCGGGAGCGGGCACTGAGCGCCTGCTGGCTGCCGCAGAAGGGCTAACACCTCGGCTTCAAGACTGTCCGTGTTCTAAAGTCCCGCGAAAATGTTCCCATGTCTCTGCCCCGAGGTCCGGCGATGCTCGATCTTGCAAAGCGGGTGCCCGATTCTCGGACGCGCCTCCTTTTGCTTTGAAAATACTGGCGCGTCTGAGAGGCTCAGGCAGCCGCTGTCCCCGCGGGGCCGGGGCGTGTGCGAGGCCGCAGCGGCCACGGGGCGGATTCTGCTGACCTGCGTCCCTGAGTGAGCGCACTGCACCCCCACACCCCGCCTGGGGCCCGCAGGCACCAGCCACGGCCAGGACCAGCTCTGCTTGGAGCCGCCTCAGCTGGAGTTAGCGCCGCACACGGCCAGGGAGGCTCCGCGCAACCGGGAGGACGGGGCGCCTGCAGAGCCGGCGGTCAGGAAGCCTCCAGCAGACGGGCACCCCGAAGCACAAAAGGCCAAGGTCCGAGTCTCCCGTGAGACCCCCCAGAGCAGATGCCTGACGTGCTGCCCCAGGTCCAGGTGCCCAGTCTGACCTCACCCACTGCGGGGGCTGGGGCGGGGGGACCGTCCGAGGCAGGGACTCGAGCAGGCCCTTCGCTCCCGGCGGCCAGGGGTCTGAGACGCTGTCTCTGGCTCCCCGCTGAACCCCCCACCCAACCTCCCATCCGGAGGCTTCAGGCCATGCCCGGCACCCATGGAGAAAACCCGTGTCCAGGCCTGGGGCAGCCCCAGGAAGCTGGGCACTTTCTGGAGAAGCCCCTCTTCTCCCAAACCGCGCGCCGTGCAGCCTCTCCAGGGCCGCAGGGACCAGCTCTTTGGGCAAAAACCTGCCACCGGAGGGCCCCACGAGCGTTATCCCCACCGGCCCAGCCCCTCCGCCCCCCCATGCCACGGGCCTTCCTGGGGATGCAGCGTTCCCTGCACAGCACCCAAGTCCCGAAGGGCCCCAGGCTCGCTGTTCAAGCGGTACAGTACGGAGACAGAATTACCCGCCGCCCGTCCACGCCGCCGCTCAGACGGAGGGAAAGTTGGCTCCGGGCCAGTGCAAAGCTGAGTCTGTCAAAGACTTCACTGGCATCGCCCTGCATTGCCCTGCAAAGCCTCCTGAAGCCGCCGGCTGGCTCCCAGCAAGACCAGCCTGACCCCCGCTGAAGCCCCGAGGGTGGGCAGCAGACACGACCGGCCGTGGAGCTCCAGGCCCGAGACGCCAGGGACCCAGCTTTCTACATGGCCCCGTCTGTGCCACCTGCACAGCAGGCTGCACCCCTGAGTCCGGCAGCCGCGTGGGAGGGGTGGAGAGGGAGGGCCGCGGGGGCCTGTGGGCATTGCGCAGGGCCCCAGGCCGGGAGCAGGGGCCGGGGTCGGCGCCCGGGCTGCGGCTGCCCCTGCTGGCCCTCTGGCCGGCGAGCCGGCGAGCAGGCGCCCGGCGCTCCTAGTCCTCCGCGCTCACCTTGCCCGAGCCCCGCTTGGGCACGCCCCTGTCGCCGCTGAAGAAGCGCCCGAGCGAGTCCAGGAAGCCGGTGTCCCTGTGCCTGGGCAGGAAGCCGTGCCGGGCGTGGTCCATGGTGCTGGCCGAGGCCAGGTACTTGGAGCCGTGCCGCTGGGAGGGTCTCTTCTGCGAGGCCATCACGCTGGGGCCCTCAGGAGCGGCGGTGCTGTCCTCTTGGATGGTCTGGAGCTCGTCTGATTCCGAGGGCCTGTCTTTGAAGGTGTTGTCCTCCCGGCCCGGGGCATCTCGGGAGAAGAGGCGGATCAAGTGGGGGCGGCCCCTGGGGTCAGCTGGGCTGGCGCCCGGCCAGGCATTCTTCGGGGCGGCTGTGCGCGTGGAGTCTGTCACCGCGGAGCCCGGGGAGGGGCCCACATTGTCCGGCCCCGCATCTGCCTGCCCTGCAAACAACGGGGAGAGTGAGCGCGGGTGAGCAGGGCCAAGCGCGGACAATGCCGCTTTCTTCAGGCCCCGGCCCTGCCCCCGGCCCACGGGCAGCGCCGCCTGGATCCCGGGCAGAGCCCAGGCAGACGCCCTCCTGGCGGCCGGACCCCGGAGCCCCCTGGGCAGACAAGCGGGGCTCGGCCGGGCCTGGCAGGGTTGCTGCTGGGTGGTGTGGCTGCTCGGAGAAGCCGGGGCGTGGGAACCCCGAGGAGCCAGGAGCCGGGCTGAGCGCTGTGGGAGGGTTTATTTCACGAAAGGTGCTGGCAGTGCTCTTGGTAAAGCCCAGTTGCCCACGTCTCTGCCACCCAAGCCTTAAAGAGACGGAGGCCTCAGGAGGCTTTGCCGTCCAGACCCCACAGAGGAGCGGCTCGGGCACCGGGGAGGGCGCAGCTGGACGCCTCCCCGGGCAGCCAGCGAGAGCCGGGCCGGGGCCTCGGGGCGTCCTGGAGAATGCGCCCCGTCTGCTCCCCAGTTAGCGTGTCACCAGCTGCAGTGTCTCGTCAGTTACTGCAGGAAATGGGCCCCCTCGCACCCCCCAGCACCACAGCGTTCACGGTCACTGCTCTGCAGCCTCCGTCCACGTGTCCATCTGTCTGTCTATCCGCCCCTCCCTCTAGACACCCAGACACCCCTCCTCTCCCCACTCACCCCTCCCTCCTCCTACCCCTTCTTCCCCCCACCCGTCCAGCCCTCCGCGCTTCCTGCCCGCCCTCCCCATCCACCCTGCCCTCCCGCCTCCCGCCAACCCAGCCCCCCAACCTGCTGCTCCCGAGGACGGCCCAGCAGGGCCTGGCCCCGTGAAGGTGGCCGCCCTTGGAAATGGGTCTCTGGTGGCTCTGACCATGCTGGGGCCATGCCGGTCGCCCTGGGCCGTGACCGGGCCCTTGTAAGAAGAGGGGATTTGGCGGCGGACCAGGGAGGGGCTGTGTTCCGGGCAGGGCACCTGAGTGCGGGCACCCTGGACACAGCACCCTCTCCCTCGGGGCCGGGCCAGGCACCACCACACCTGGCCTGCTGGCCCGCACTCAGAGAGGACGCCTGCCCACTCGCAGCACGTGTGGCAGAGCCTGGAAACAGTCGGCGCAAACGCTCACCGCGATGCGGGAGGTGGCGGCCGGTGGGCGTCAGGCCCTGTGGCGTCTGGGGTGGGGAGGCAGCGCTGCTCCAGGGAGGCCCCGGGGCCAGCCCTGGGGTGGGGAGGGCCGGACCAGACGCTCACCAGGGCGAGTGGGGAGGCTGGAGCCCCAGGACAGCCAGGGCCGGGGGCCGAGGCGAGGGCACGCCGGCGTCCAGGTGGAGGGCGGCGACTCCTTTCCTGGCCGTTTCTCCAGGGAGCAGCCAGAGCCCAAGGGCGCGAGGGCGGTACCTGACCTCGGGGCGGAGACCATGGGCGAGGGCCACACGTGCCTGCGGGGGGTCAGCACATGGAGGGGTGAGCCAGTCACACCCCCGTGGGTGTTGGTCAACACACACCACACCCCTGCACACGCACGTGTGTACGGAAAGGCAAGTGGTGCCACTGCTCTGACAGAACCACAGGCCGCTGGCAGCCACCTGGAGCTGCCCGGACCCCCGGGCTGACCGCACGGACCTCTGCGTCCCTGTGACCGCGGGAGCCGGCCTGTGTGGCCAGCCGGGTGCGCAGGAGCCAGAGGCGCACACTGCCCACTAAGGGGGGCCTGGGCGGACCCCCTCTCATGACCACAGATTAAGGCTGCCGGCGGGCGCCACTGCCCATGCAGTGCCCAGGAAGTGAGCATGAGGAGCACAGGGCCAGGGCGCTTGGGCCGCAGCAGAGTCAGCACCTCGTCCTCTCACTGGGCCACGCCCTGTGGCGCATGTAGCTAACGCGGATGTGAGCGGAGAGTGGCCCCATTGTCCCCAGCCCAATGGCTGACGGACACCTGACCACCAGCAGGCCCAGCAGCTGGGCTACCTCTGAATGCCGGCCCTGTGAGGCCACAGGGGGCCCGTCCGAGCCACCTCTCGCACCTGAGGGGGACCTGAGGCCAGATCTGGGCATTTTGAGCGGAGGCCAGAGCAGTTTTCTTTGGCCATGAACATCAGCTCCGACCGAGGTGAAACCTGGTGTGGGTTATTCCCACGTGGGCTCGGGGCAGAACGCGCTGCGGGACGGGCCTGGCCCAGCAGCCGTGCCAGCAGCGAGCACTTTCCTCAGCACCCGTCCCAAGGGACCCGAGCCCCGAGACACGCTCGTCCCCACTTGAGGACCTTGAGGGGGCTGCAGGCACCCCGGGCCCGGAGGGTGCTCTGCCCTCTCTGGCTACCAGGGCAGGGGGCGGAAGTCAGGCTGCAGAGTACGGGCTGCAGGCCCTGGGCTGGCGGGGGACAGCTGGACGGGACCCCAGCTCCTGCCTGCGCGCCGACCCCAAGGTCGTGGGCCCCAAACCAGCCAGGCATGGCCAGAACCTCAGGTACTCACTGGAGACCAGCAGGCCGCCAGGGGCTGAGGGCACGGCTGTGTGGCAGACGCAAGGATGGCCGCCCTGCCGGGCCGCAGGGTCTCCGCGGGAGCCGGGCGGGCCTGGAATGCGGCCGTGGGCCGGGCTGCAGAGGCCTCCTTGCTGGCACAGACCCCCCTCCCTGGCAGGCAGCGGGTCCGCGGGGAAGGCAGGAACAAGCAGCCCTTGGTGTGGCCAGTGGGCTGGGGGCGGACACTCTGCATCTATGAGAGGCACGTGGCCGGCCGCCAGGCGTCCCGGCGAGGTCTCTTCAAAACCTCTCCACAAATGGATCTTCTCAGCCCACCCATCTTGCCCGAATGCCTCCTTTGTCCGCCCAGAACATACAGGTCCTATTTGCTCTAAATAGCTCGCCCCTCGGGCCCTCCCACGGCCGCGGGGTCACTGGCGGGCAGGGCCGGGCGGGGGGCGGCAGGAGGCTGGGGCTGGGGGAGATGGGGGTCCTGGGCAGTTCCGAGGAGTGAGCGCAGGCCTGCGGGCAGAATCACTGACCCCGGGAAATGCCAGGCGCGCCCTCTCTCACCAGGCCCGCTGACCAGGAGCGGGGAGGCCGGCATGTGCTGGGCGGGAAGCGCTGGGCAGCCCACGCTGCGGTTCTCGCCTGCACTTCAGAGAAGGCCGTGCCGGCCACACATCAGAGTGGGGGTCTCGGGGCGGGGGAGGGGGGCCGGGGGAGGCGTCCCCTTCCCGAGGTCCCCTCACCCTGCAGGCGCTGCCCTGCCCCGGGGCTCAGGAGGCTGCCCCCCACCCCGCCCCCCGCCTGCACGAACGCAGGGTCACGGGCCTCTAAAGCCCACGGCTCCGAGCCGAGCCCTGGGGTCTGGCAGCACTTCGAGCCTGGAGGCGCCTTCAGTGTGACCCTCCTGGGCCAAGTGGGCTGGAAGAAGCTTCAGAGGCAGCCCGGCTGCCCCGCGCTCAGCGACCCTCCCCCTCAGCAATGCACGGACATTGGCAATGCTGGAAGGGAAGGGACCCCGAGGGCGGCGGAGGCGCTGCTGTCACCCCCAACACTGGCAGGCACGAGACCGCGTGTCTTCTCTCCCCAGTCATGTCTGCCGGCGCCAGCCTGGACAACAGCCCCCCTCACGCCGTCCGGCTCCTGCCCAGAGGCCCCCCAAGGGCTGTGCCGGCCCGACCTGCCTCTGCTGTCTTCCCCAGCCCACCCCTACCCTGCGCCCCCTTGCACTCCCGCCGGGTCTGCAGGCCTCTGGGACGGAGACGCAGCCGGGGCTCCACTTCCGGCCGCGGGCCGATGGCAGCACCCGCTCCCCGGGGCGTCACCCAGGAGCCGGCTCACAGCTGGCGGGCGGGGGTCGTCGCCCGGCCTGGAGAGCGGAGGCTGCCCTGGAGGGCACGGGGAGGCCACAGCAGTGGACGCTCAGAAAACCGTGTGAAGGGACGGGAACCGCATCCTCACTGGTCGGTCCCAGTGGCGTTCAATGCAGGGGACAGGCCCAGGCAGGGCTGGCGACGGCAGGTGCCCGGGGTCCTGGGAGGCGGGACTGCGTGGGGGAGCCGCGTGGCCTCCGGATTCACTGGTGGTGACACACAGCCGCGCTGGGCGCTGGGCCCTGGGCCCGGACAGCTGCAGGGAGGTGCGGGCCAGGATGGCACGTCAGTGCACTGGTCTGCCCCTCAGTCTGGGGGACGCCGGTCTGCCGGGGAAGCAACTCTGTCAACTCAGCCCCAAACCCGAACCCTAAAGTGACACTAAGAGCTAGAGATTGGCCCCTGCGTATTTCGTGCAACATCTGCTTATCCTGAGCTGAGTCCGTAACAGTAAGTTTTTGAGAAAAACTTTGCAAAAGGTCATCGCGCTGAGGAGAATGTTCTAGAACAAGCTGCCGCCAGGCGGTGCTGACGCCTCTGTGGAGGGGTGTGCTCCCGAGCCCTTGCAGGCAGCCTCCCTTGGCCGGACGGCGTGCTGGGCCTGCCTGGCTCGGGGCCGGCGGAGCCTCCCACCTAAGAGCGTGTTCTGGGGGCCGCGCGAGAGCGCTGGGCCGACCTTCCCGCAGACACCTGCCGGGGTGACCCGTCCAGGACGAGATGGCCAGAGGTGCAGAGGCAACTGGCGGCCATCGTCTCGCCAGGCACCGCCCCACTCCCTTGCCAGGGCCGGGAGGCGGGAGGGGGCTCTGGGGTCTCCCGGGAGACACAGCAAGAACAGCCCCTGGGGACGGCCCGAGTGTCCATGCTGGCAGGTCTGCGTGTCAGAGCAATCAGGCCGCTCCCCGCAGGAGGCTGCTGCCCCGTCCCGCCGCCGCGCCGGCTCCTCTCGCGAGGGCTGACGTTTTCCGAAGCGGAGCCGGCTTCAGAGGAGTGGACATGGCCGCCGGCCTGCGCTCGGCCGCTGCCTATCCCCGCCGGCCTGTTCTCAGGCAGGGGCCGCCCCGCTGCAGAGGAGTCGGTTCATACAGGAACACGCGCCTGCCTGGCGCCACACCCCGAGCACCCCACGCCGGACGCCAGGATTT